CTATGTGGTTCCTATGTGCAGGTCTTTTGACCTCTCACTTTCCTCACAGAACCTGTGCTGTTTGTTAGCATTCCGTGACTAGCCCTATGTTCTAACCATCACAGCACTTCTGCCTGCTGCTCAGGATATTGCAGGGGGGCTGGCAGATATGCCATAGCTTGGTATACAGGGGTCATTTCCTGCAGGAGCGCACAGAAGCGGAGCTCCGGCAGTAAAGAGCCATGGGGGCGGGCACATGCAACAAGCCCCACCCCCTGATCCCAGCAGCCCTCAGTCAGAGCAAGAAGCGGCCAGGAGAGCTGCAGAGCCCCCCCCCCCCGGCCCCTCGGTCCAAAACAGTCCAGTGGCACCTTTAAGACCAAGTTTTATTCAGGTACAAGCTCTCCCTCCTCTGTGAGGACAGATCTGCACCCCCCCCCCCCCCATAGCTAGCAATCCAAAACAGTCCAGTGGAGCCTGAGCGGTGGGTGTTGCCTTCTGACACACTACCGGTGATGCCAGGGGTGTGTGGCATATGCAAATAAGTTATGCTAATGAGTTATGCTAATGAGCTCCTGCACCTCTTTTTCTGCGGAATGACCCCCTAGTGGTATATAAACTTCTGCCTGATTTCTCCCCATGGGTTCTTTGCCCTGCTGGCCACTTGATAGTTTTTTGTGTAAGCTCAGCCAGTCCTTTGCGGCTGCCGCAAGGTCGCTGACACCACGGTGCTCTTGTCCCCCAGGTGAAGGTGATGCGGTGCCTGGAGCACCCCAACGTGCTGAGGTTTATTGGGGTCCTCTACAAGGACAAAAGGCTGAACTTCATCACAGAGTACATCAAAGGGGGAACGCTGCGTGGAATCATCAAGAACATGGTAAGAGCGGGGACAACATTCGCAGTTGGCAGCAATTCAACTCAGCTGGGGGTGTGTGTGAATAATGTGGGGGGGGGGGCACTCAGCCACCTTGCAGAAATAGGATCTGCTTTGTGTGCTGACTTGGAGCAATGAGCTCTCCAGCCAGAAAAGGGCATGTATCTGACTGCACAAGTCTGCCGACATTCCTGTTTGCAGAAGAGGGGGTGGCGATTTTGGACTATTCCTCTCCTCCTGCTACAGAACCTCATTTGTCTGCCTAGAATGTCCCTGGACCCCTGCACAAAGCTGGGGGGGAGGGTTGGTGGGCTGCATCAGGAAGCTTTGTCCGTAATTTTCTTTTGCATTTGCTGCCATGTTGGGATTCTTTTTTTTCCTAAATGGAAAGAAGTGGGATAAAGGCTTTAAAAATAAAAATCGCTTGTCTCAAAAGCTTGCTCTGGGTGGCTGATTCTGAGAATGAGACCCGTTGCCTAAACTGGAGCTACACAGGTAGAGCTGTGGAGGCATTTCTGCCCCTCCCTCCTCCCCTCCCTCTCAGTTTAATCTGTCTTGAAGGGTCATTTTGAGACTAAAATGGAGGAGCCATGTATATCACTTTGAATTCCTGGGAGGGAGTGGGGATAAAAGTGTAATGGCTGAGTAGAAATGCCCTCCCCCAGCACCGGTGGCAGCCAGTTTGGTGTAGTGGTTAAGTGCGCGGACTCTAATCTGGGAGAACCGGGTTTGATTCCCGACTCCTCCACTTGCACCTGCTGGATGACCTTGGGCAAGCCAGAGTTCTGATAAGAGCTGTTCTTGAGAAAGAGCAGTTTCTATCAAGAGCTCTCTCAGCCCCACCTACCTCACAGGGTGTCTGTTGTGGGGAGGGGAAGGGAAAGGAGTTTGTAAGCCGCTCTGAGACACTTTTGGGTAGTGAAGGGCGGGGTCTTCTTCTTCTTCTTCGTGTTTCCTGGATTCGTCCTCGTTCACGCGTTGCCAACATCTCTCGTTGCAGGACAGTCAGTATCCCTGGAGCCAAAGGGTCAGCTTTGCTAAGGACATTGCTTCAGGAATGGTGAGTGTGTCAAGGATCAACCCCAAGCCTGCAAGAGGCCGTCCTTGTCCTGTTCCATGGGTTTAAAAAAATACACTGGATGGGTTGATGAAGGACAGCTCTATTGATGGCTTGACAGCCAAGTAAAACCTCCTTGTGGTGAGGCAGCGTACCTGTGGGTGCAAATAACTGCATGAGCCTTGGTCTGATCCAGTCAGACAATACTTATGGTCCTGTAATTCTGGATGTATTTCAGTGATTTTAATAATGCAAAAACAAAGAAAGAATCCCAGTATCAGAGCTAGTCTGAAGCCAAGGCTTAACGGCAGAATTGGTGTCCGGCGCCTGATCTTATCTCCAGGATTTGCAAAACACAAATTTAAGACGAGCTTCTGAGGAAGGGCAGAAGGCGTCTCCTCTGAACAGTAACCACCAGGCCCCTCAAATCAAGAATGAAGGGGTTAAAGATCCAGATCTAGAATAAAGGGGTCAAAGATACAAGTTCCAAGTAGGCTTGAGTCTGGCTGGCTTTTGTTTGAGAAATAAAGCTTAAACTGCCTGTAAAATGGGGATTTTTGAGGCTATAGCAGGGGTCCTCGCCTTTTCAAGACTGCAAACACCTCTGGATCTCTGACGCAGCGTGGTGGACGCAGCCACGAAATGGTTGCCGCAGCTGCTGCGGGAGGTAGAGCCAGCCACAAAATGGCCGCCGCAACTTCAGTCACACAGTGAAGATTCTTGTGCTGTGGTGGCAGCGGCTGCCAAGGCGACGTTTTTAAAAATCTGCACAGCCAATCAGAAGACCTGCTGGGCAAAAGCCCCACCCAGCCCCACCCACTTTCTAAAAACCTTTGCTGGGCACCAGGAAAAGTGTTGGTAGACGCCATGCCACTCATGGGCACCATGTTGGGGACTCTTGGGCGATAGTTTCATAAAAGAGGAGCCATAATGAGCATTTCTGATCACCTTATTCCACCCTGCCCCCCGCAGGCGTATCTTCACTCCATGAACATCATCCACAGAGACCTCAACACCCACAACTGTCTTGTGCGAGAGGTGGGTAGTGCCAGGATTTGGGGGCAACCTCAAAGCACTGTTGACATTCTTTGAAATTGTCTCTGGCCTTGCTAGTGTCGGGTAAGGACTATTCTGTGTTGCCCCCCCCCCCTACCCAGAACAAGAGCGTGGTTGTGGCAGATTTCGGCTTGGCCCGGCTCATGGTGGACGAGAAGAACCAGCTGGCCAGTTTGAAAAAACCTGACCGTAGGAAGCGGTACACGGTGGTGGGGAATCCCTACTGGATGGCTCCCGAGATGATCAACGGTGAGTCGCGGGTTGCCAGCCTCCAGGTGGGGCCTGCGGTTCTTGAATTATGACTGTGGTCTCCAGACCACAGAAATCAATTCCCTTGGAGAAAATGGCAGGTGTGGAGGGTTGACTTGACTCTGTGGCATCACACCCTTGGCTGAGCTCCCTCCCCAAACTATCCCCTCCACAGACTCCGTCCCCAAATCTCCAGGAATCTCCCTACCCAGCAACTGACAACCCTGGGTCAAAGACAAGAGAAATGTGGGGGTGGGGAGAGCAGAGGCAGGCCTAGTTACAATGTGGGTATGTAATGTTGGTATGTCATAGTAAGGGATCAGTATCCCGATACACGGGAGGCCTGACCCAGGAAGTGTATTTTTATAGAGATGCCAGCCAATCAGGGCCTGTAGCAGAACAGGGAGTGCTGGGAAAGAAAGGTAAAGAGCTGTAGAGAGGAGAAAAGCTCTGAGTAGCCCCATGTGACAGCTGACAACTCTCCTTCTTTCTCACAGGCAGGAGCTATGACGAGAAGGTGGACGTCTTCTCCTTTGGCATCATCCTGTGCGAGGCAAGTACCCAGAAGGGCCTCTGGGCAAGTTCCCTCGAGGCAGAGGGGCACTGGGAAAGAACTGTGGCACTGCTTCTCATGCAGGGTGCGGGGATGAGGTTTCAGCGACTTCTTTAATATATAAGTTTATTTTCACAATTTCATTTCATACTCACATCAAAATATACATAAGTCCACTTTTAATTTATACATAAATTAAAATAACAGTTCATTTATTGCTTCCATTCTATTATTTTAAACTAGCATTGACTAAAGATTAATCTATCTTCTTGTGTTTTAGCCAATCATAGATTATCTTCCATCTATTCCAGAAAATATCTTCTGGTTTATTGTTCAATGCTATACTCAGCTTGTCCATTTCCGCTGTGTCCAGAATCTTGTGTTTTAGTTCTTTTATGGATGGTATGGCTTTCGACTTCCAACGTTTAGCTATCAGAATTCTTGCTGCTGTTAAGGTGTAGATTATTATATGTTTGTGTTTTTTTATATTATCCGGAATCATATTAAGCAGATATGTTTCAGGCGTTAGAGGGATGTTTATTTTAAACGTCTCTAAAAAGATTTTATGTATTTTTTTCCAAAATGTTTGTATTTTACCACACCTCCACCATATGTGCAGGAACGATCCTATATTCCTTCCACATCTCCAACATAAGTTAGAAGCATTTGGAAAGCATTTGGCAATTTTTACAGGAGTCCAATGCCATCTGTAAAACATTTTGTAAATATTTTCTTTATATGCCGTCGCTCTCATATATTTTATTGAGCTCCAAGTTTCCTGCCATTGTTCTGCTTCTAATGTGTATCCTAACTCTTTTATCCACGCTACCATTGTGTTTTTAATAATTTCTTCTTGAAGATCTTCCTCTAACAGTTTATTATACATTTTCTGAATTAACTTATCGCTGGATGAAAGCCAGATTTTGTCCATTTCATTAAGGGTCGTATAGAATCCTACTTTCTTGTCTAACATATACCTTGATTTAATTATATTTATTTCCCACCATGACAGTTGTGTATTTTGTTTTTTTAATAATTCATCTGCTTTCAGTTCTGCTTTTTTATTTAATACCTTGCCGTATGTTTCTTTAGTCTCTTCTGTTATCAATGTCGGTTTTGTAAATGCCTCTAATGGAGATACCCATAAGGGGTTTTAATGTAGAATTTTTGTTTTATTATGTTCCAAATTTTTATTAAGGCACTTCTTATTATATTTGTATGGAAACTGGCATGGATTTTATCCTTTCTGTACCATATGTACGCATGCCATCCCATTGGCAGATCCGCTCCTTCTATCGCTAAGGTTCTCACATATTTTAATTCAACCCACTCTTTGATCCACGTCATTGCTTCTGCAAAATAATACAGCTGCCAGTTGGGCACTGCCAATCCTCCTCTCTCTTTGCTGTCCTGCAGGTTTTTAGTTTTTATTCTTGGCTTGTTTACTATTTTCTCTAGATCTTTAAAGAATTTGTAGTTTTTAATTATTGGTAAGTTCTGCGCTAGGAACAGAAATCTTGGAAGGATATTCATTTTTATTGTCGCTACTCTTCCCAATAGCGACAAGTGTTTATTCCCCCAGTGTTTTAGGTCTTTTTTAATTTCATTTAGGAGTTTTATATAGTTATTTTCATATAGTGTTGAGGTATTACCTGAAATCCATACTCCTAAGTACTTCGCTTTCTGCACTATATCCATTTTCGACATTTCTTTTATTTTTTCTATCACCTTATTAGAACAATTCTTGGCTATGATTTTTGTTTTTTGGAAATTAATTTTAAATCCCGCTATGTCTCCAAATTCCTGAATGTCTTTTATTAGTGTTGGTAACGATTGTTCCGGATCCTCTAATATAAAGATCAGATCGTCTGCGAAGGCTTGCACTTTATATGTTTCCCCTTTTACTGTCAAACCAGCTATCAATTCATTTTGTCTTATTTTGTCAATTAACGTTTCAATTGTGAATATAAATAGTAGTGGGGATAACGGGCAACCCTGCCTTGTACCCTGTTTCAGCGACTTCGATGGGCAAGATGGGTCAGAGTCAGATCCAAGTGGTCTCTCTTAGATGTTTTGCGCTAGCTTCATGGCAATTCTTTAAAGACTGGCAGTCTTTAAGCAGTGGCTGGAGAAACACTGGTCAGGGATGCTCTAGGTTTATCCTGCATCGAGCAGTGGGTTGGACTAGATGGCTTGCAACTCTGTGATTCCATGATTCTGTGATTGAAATCCAAGATGAGCTCCACGGGGGTTTCTGACTGCTTCCCCCCCCCTTTCCCACAGATCATTGGCAGGGTCAGTGCAGACCCCGACTACCTGCCCCGAACCCTGGACTTTGGCCTCAACGTGCGGGGCTTCCTGGACCGCTATTGCCCCCCCACCTGTCCCCCCAGCTTCTTCCCTATCGCTGTCTGCTGCTGTGACATGGATGCCGAGAAACGGTGAGAGATCAGAGGGGGGGAGGCAGAAAATGAGCAGGGGTGCTTCTCCCTAGATGGGGGGAAAGAGGGAGAGGGCAGTAAGTGGGGCCCCACGGCCAGAGGTCCGCTGGGACCAATTCCAGGCCTTCCTTCGGCCGCAAGATTGGCCCCCCCCCCCCCCCGGAGCCATCTTCCTGGCCGCTGTTGGAGACAGGATGCTGCATACGAGTGGCAGGCATGATCCCGCAGGGTCGATCTCACCTCCCGCTTTTGTCCCGCCAGGCCCTCCTTCGCCCGGCTGGAACAGTGGTTGGAGGCGCTCCGCATCCATCTGGCCATGCAGCTCCCACTGAGTTCGCAGCTGGAGCAGCTGGACCGGGCCTTCTGGGAGATTCACCGCCGGGCTGATGGGGGGCTGCCTGTCCACGCCGAAGTATCCGAATGAGCGGGCCAGAGATCGACATGCCGTGCTGAGCCCCCGCGTCCCCGTATGTGTGGCGGAGCGCCCTCGTGCCGAGCGACCTCTGCGAGCGGCGCACGGGTCACCTGCCGGAGCTGGTCTCTGAGTCCAAAGAGGCGTGTGGGGTCCTGGGTCACTGGGAGCTGGCTCTCCTTGCTTCCTTCCAGGGGGGGTTGGGGAGGGGAGGTGGGGTTCTGTGCCTGGCATGCACAGACGGTGTCGGGGGTGGCCCGGGCGCTTGTAAATATTCCTGTGGATAAATCTGACTCTCCCATGCAAATCCCGCAGCAGAGAAAAGGGGCTGCCCCTCATCCTGTGTGCCTGTGTGGCTCAAAGCTGTGGGGCCCGATGGAGAACCCCCCCCCCAGTGTTCTCCTTGCACGCTTTGTGGTCGCAAAAGAAAAAAAATGCCTTTGCACACTCCACCAAGCTCGCACATTTCTTGCCACCGGCTGGCTGCTGCTCGCAACCTGGCGGGGGGCAGCCCTGGGGGCTCCTTCCCGTCACACACCTCTCTGCCCCGTGACTGACCCTCGTCCGACAAAGTGGTGCCTTGGGTTTAATGTGAACTTGCATTGCTGCACAGCCAGGGCTCTCTGGGGGCCCCACGTCATCGTCCTCCGTGTCGGTCGTGTCTGTGAAAATGCAAGTGCATACCTGCCTGGCCTGCGCTCTTCTGTCTGCCAACTTGCGTGTGTGTGTGTGTGTGTGTGTGTGTTTGCGTGTGTGCAGTCATCTTTCCAGCCACGCTAACCCTTAGCCTTTGTGTTCTAGCCATTGTAGGGACTGCACATTGCACACAAATGTGTGTCATAAAAACCTACAGAAAAACGGCTTTGGAAGGAACAATCTGGAGTAGAGACGCAGCAGGTGTGGGGAGGAGAGTGCTGAACCCCTTTCCCTCCCCCCAGCTTCCCAACTCCAAATCACTCTTCTCCAAAGCCACCTTCTCCCTGGATGTTCTGGTTTTGCTGCAGAGAGCTCCAGCGACGTAGTTTGAAATCCTGGGAATGCTCCTCTGACTAGAGGTAGAAGTGCAGAACCTGAGCCGGTTTTTGCACGCGGGTTAATCCAGGGGTACAAAATTCCTTGGGTGGTGTCATGTAGGATGGCAGACTCGACGTCTGAAACAGTTCCTGTGTAAAAAAAAGGATACTTCCTGCCAAGTAGAGGGCCTGTCCGAGCTGAAGAAGGCGATGTAGAATCTACTCTCTGATATCCTGGGTTTTTTCACCAGGTGGGAAATGTTCACACAGGGAGACATTCTAAAATCTGATCTGTTGCCTGCGGACTGAATTATTCCAGTCCCCCTAAACTCTGCATCACAGGATTCCCCACCGTGTGCATATCAGCTCTAAAGGAGGATATTTCCAAAAGTCTCTTCATCTGACTTCCTTCCAGGATTATGGAGACTCACGTCACGTCGTCTTGTTTCTGTCCTGGAGCTAACACAGTAGCTATCCTCCCTTCCTCCCTCATATTATTTTTAAATTTTTCCATGTGCATGGATTACCTTAGCCTTTGTCTCGCTTACGCCTCCCTCCCTTACTGTGTGCATAGATAGAACACTGCTGCAAAAGCCATCGTGATATCACTGTTCATAACAGCCATGTGCACGAGCAAAAACATCACACACAAAAAGAGTACTTTGAAAATAGTGATTGCAGTCATTGCTTTTGTGCACTGTTTGAGCCATGCACCCAGTAAGGATAAAAGGTGAGAACCAGCAGAGTGCAGTGGCTAACAAGTTGAAGCAGGATCCTAGCTCCGGGTAGTTGTGAGGATAAAATGAAGGAGGCCAATGTTCCCTCTAAACTGTGGAGTCTTGTGAACAAAAATTCTACTTTGTGAGCTACTGGCATTAAAGTTGTGAGCGAGCTGTTTGGCTACTGCATACATTAGTTTGCTCTGGAGCCCTCCTTCTTGAGCTAAGGCCAAAATGTGTGAGCCGGAGGCTAAAAAACTGTGAGCTAGCTCACACTGACTCAGCTTAGAGGGAACACTGAAGGAGACCCAGCTAAACCACCCTGTGTTCCTTGCAGGAAGGGCGGGCAGCTTAAGAGCGTTCCAGAGAGATAGAAGGAGCTGAATACAGGGCAGAGAGCAGTTCTGGAGTGGTAAAGAAAGAACGGGGTGGGGGATCTATCCTTGAGCCATTGTTCATTTTAACTTTTTGAAGCGAGAAAGAAATCCAGGGCTGTGCCACCTGACTGAATCCATGGGGTGTATTTGTGAAAACCTGAACCCTGCAGAATTTCGAGATAGCAGATCCCGCAGAGAGAGCTCTGTGTGGACAGCAAAGGCATCTTCATTTGCCCTGAGCTTTGCAACACCGGAGTCAATGAAGTGGAGATGCATGGGGGAAAGTTGGCGTGCGGATTCAAGACCCTCAGGGCCAGACTACAAGCAAAGGCAGCCATGGGTCCATCCAGTGGCCACCACCGCGTTAGAAGCACTTGTAGGGGGTTTCTTTTAGAACTGCCTCAAGGCTGTGTCCGGATCTGATGCTTTGCAGCT